ATATATATATATCGAGTGTTATATAGAAGTCACAGAGTCTAGATGACATTATCTTCCTCTAAAGATAAATTCTTTTTACTGTCTGCTGGTACTTACATTAGAAGGTTACCTTAACGCAATCAGGGATTTTTACTGATTCAAATCTAGGTTTCAGTCTTTGGATTATCTTGTCTATACTCAGTTCCCCTTACTCCAAGGATACAGCCCAGCCCTTCATGGAGCCCAGTTGCAAGCCTATTTATCAGAGCCCTTCATTCTTGCTGGCTCCTCAATTCAAATGTTTACTTTTCGAGTACTGCTTAATTTCTCAACCTCCTTTAAGTCATTTTCTGCTTGTCTAGTGCTGCTCAAGAATTAGCATATCCTTCTAGGGGAAAAGTAATACCAAATAACAGCCTTATTTGAACTTTCCTCCTTTACAGCCCCTGCTTTGCCCTTCAGGTTCTGGCTTCCTTTGTAACCAATAAGTCCAATATCCATTCTTTCCTCCTAACCCCTTGATGATGCCAGAAGTTCTGCTTAGCTGCTGTGTTCTGATGAGTTGCTCAGACTCTCACTCTGTGTTGCTTATAATTATTACATCTCAACTGGAAGCATAATTTTCCATGTTACTTTCTGAGATATTTATAATGAAATAAGCAATTTCATTATTATCTTTATGTATCTAAACAATTTTCATACTTAAATTGTTTTCAAGATTTGTCATCAGAACACTTGATTGGGTCTGCTGTCATGAATCTAAGTATATTGAGAGTCTTCTCCTTGATGGAGTATGGCATTTTTAAAGTCTTTTTGTAAAACAGTCCATGCTTTTAATAGATATAGTAGCAAATGTTAAGTATCATAGACTTTTCAAAATCGTTAAGTTTATTATATATGCATTTTTTAGTGATTAAAATTTTTATAGGTACTGAGCTAATACATTCTGTGCATTTTTTGTTTAATCAGTTGATAACAGAATATGAAGGTCACAATTTATTTTCAAATTAAATTATCAGTATTTTTTGCAAACCATGTTTTATAAATTTTCATAATAAAAATCACCTATTTCTGCAAAGCAACATTTAGTATCACATCTCAAGTATCATGACTATTTAGAATAGTATAACAAGCTACCTCAATGTCAAGTGGAGGAAATTAACATTTCATTATTAATTAATTTTAGAATGGGTATATTAATAATTTACTATTTCTGTGCCTTTTTCAGGTTTACTAACTTAATGTCCTAATAAATGCTGATAGCTTATTTTTAAATCACTTTTAGAACAGGAAAAAAGAGATAATTTTAAATTCATTTATTGCTTACTAGAGCAAATCATTTAACCCAAAGTAGATTTTTCAGAGTTGTTTCATTGAACTTGCACTAAAAATCATGAAAATAAGGAGATGCATCGATTTTCCCTTAAAATTTCTAAAAATCATAGTACCATTCTGGAAGATTCATAGAACTTTATATAAACACCATCTTTTTTTGTCTGGTTTACAGACTGTCAGCAACCAGCCATTCATTGACACCTCAAAATGATATGGATTCCAGTAGCTCTGAAGAATTCTATCAAGCTGTTCACCATGCTGAGCAAACCTTCAGAAAGATGGAAAGTTACTTGAAGCAACAGCAACTCTGTGATGTTATCCTGATTGTTGGGAATCGAAAGATACCTGCACATAGGTACAGTAGTCAGTCTTTATTGGAAATATGCATTTATATGTTTAAAAGTGATAGACTGATATGCAGATTGCAGAATATTCTATGGCTCTAGAAATAAAGATTCACATTTAAGAGAACTTGGTTTTTGTTGTTGTTGTTGTTACTATTTTTTTTTNTGTCTGGTTTACAGACTGTCAGCAACCAGCCATTCATTGACACCTCAAAATGATATGGATTCCAGTAGCTCTGAAGAATTCTATCAAGCTGTTCACCATGCTGAGCAAACCTTCAGAAAGATGGAAAGTTACTTGAAGCAACAGCAACTCTGTGATGTTATCCTGATTGTTGGGAATCGAAAGATACCTGCACATAGGTACAGTAGTCAGTCTTTATTGGAAATATGCATTTATATGTTTAAAAGTGATAGACTGATATGCAGATTGCAGAATATTCTATGGCTCTAGAAATAAAGATTCACATTTAAGAGAACTTGAATTTTGTTGTTGTTGTTGTTACTATTTTTTTTTCTTCATTTTGGGAAGAATTATAATGCCATTTTAGGTAGTGAATTTAAGAAATAAAAAAAAAATATGAAGAGTTCAAAAATAAAACTACTCATAACTAGGGTTGATAAATCTTTGTTTAAGAAGATAGAGGGACTCAATCAACTTAAAATTATATTAACACATGAAATTATCATTATTTTTTTAAAAACACAGCATGTTTTATATGATTTAATATGATTTATATAACCTCATCGCCTTTTATTGGTGCTAACTTAATATTTTTTTACTCATTTCAAGTATTTTTAACCGACAAGTTGAGCATTTTTCCTAAATATTAGCTTGTTTCTGTTGCTTGTAACGAAATACCTGAAACTGAAATATTTGTAAGAAAATGAAATTTATTGTTTACAGTTTCAGAAACAAATTGGGAAGTCTACAATCCAGGGAACACATCTGGTGAGTTGACTCCACAGCAATGCAGGGCATCACCTGGCAAGAATGGCGGAGAGAGAGAAAGCTAACTCCTAACTCCTCCTTTTAAAGCCCCCAGAACCTCAGCCATGACCACCATTTCTTCTTGGTTTATTATTGCTCTAAAACATCTGAGCAATGTATTGCTTACACATATATTATTCTGAACATTTTAATATTTTATATGTTTAGCGCATATTAAATTTAATTCATTGTAGTCAATCTAGTATGATAAGAAAAAATTAGTGTCTTTCTTATCCATGGAAAAATTAATTCAAATAAGGCTTTATATTTTCTTTACTTTGTTATAAAATAAACTTAGGCACATTACAATTTTTTAAATTTTATTTGAGCAAATACCTATTGATTAATCAGGCAGTACTAGACCACAAGATATTCAGGCCTCAACCAAAGGAGTGTGAGGGAAAAACTTTTATAGGGTGTTTGTGAAGCAATACAAAGAAAATATTTGATTGTTTAAAGTGGAAAAGTAGCCCAGTTAGAGAGATTGGTCGGATGTTTCTGACTGGTTAAGTTACTTTGAATTTGATTTGCTTGGAGGGCAATCCAGAATGCTGGAGCTGTCTCAGCCCAATGGCCTCTCAATTACTTTTTTTTTTTTTTTAACAACACTATAGTTTAAAACTTTATCACTAACTATTTTGCAGGTAATTTACATCCTTAGAATTCTAAGTTAAACACATATTAACAAACATGTGAAAAAATTTTTGGTGGAATACCTGAAAAAGGCAAGCACACTTTTGAATAATTGCAGGTGTCATCAACTTATTTATATTTTTGCACAATGAAACAATATTAATTAATGCAAACTAGCTCTTGGCTCAATACAAATAATAATATTATTTATTTATAACAAACAAACGAATGGATTTTTAAAATTTTCTCTTATATTTCGATTACCTGAACTGAGTAATGTCTTTGGGAAAAACATATACAATATTATAACCATTAGCACTGAAAAATGTGGCAGTATTATAATAATTTCAAATAATGTAAAAAGAAATAATTTATGTAAGATCTACTGCTCTTTCAGAAAAGACATTAAAAGCTAGTGTCATAATTAGAAACTAATGTAAAGTCTGAGGAGGAGAGTAAAATAAATGTCAATAGTAATAACAATATCAATAATGGGGCTGCTAGTTAACACTTGGTGTTGATTATGTTCCAGGCCTTGTTTGAAATGCTTTGCATATACTAACTCATTTTGTCTTTAAGGGAAAGGAAATCCTTATTTTCCCCATTTTTTCTTATAGAATAGAAAACTGAAGCATAGAGAAATTAATAAATTCATCCAAGTTAAGTACTCAATAATTGATGGGAAATTGATACTCAAGCAATCTGGTTACAGAAGGAATGACTTTAACAACTACAATAGATTTAGAAAGAAGCTTTGAAATATGGTACAGCTTTAGAAAATGTGCAAAAGACAGGGAAGCAAAAACTAGTTAATGATCTGAGAAGCTATTGTAGTTAATCCAGGCATGAAATGAGGACTAGATGAACATGAAGAGATGAACTGAGAAACATTTTGAAGAACAGTGTCATAAGTCAGGTTCCCTACTAATAGAGCCAGAGCCCAGAATTCAGGTGTGCATGGCTTCTTTAAAGAGGGTCCTCAGGGCCGACCCTGTGGTGCTCTCAGGAGAGTGCAGCGCTGGATGTGCAGCGACGCTCCCGCCGCGGGGTCGGATCCTATATAGGGATGGCCTGTGCACTCACTGGCTGAGCGCGGTGCGGGCGACACCAAGCCAAGGGTTGCAATCCCCTTACCGGTCACACACACACAAAAAAAGAGGGTCCTCAGAAGAAAGGGAAGCAGGACAGGGAAGAGGAAGGAAGAAAGCTAACTCCTAACTCCTC